ATGTTACCTTTTGGATCTTTTCTTCTTGTCGGTATTACCATGTATTACCTATTGGTTCTCTGAAAGATATTGGAAGAAATTTGGTTGAGTTCTATTTAGATTCCTTCATCGCTACTTGTGGTTCTTTTTGCATTTCATTGTTCGTTTTTTTTCCAATGGTTACTAAATCTATGTTACTAAATTATACAGGTTTTGAAGAACGGCATTGAGGTCAAGCTCCAACGGAATGCTTTAAGTGTCTTAGAACCTCCAACTGGGAATGAAGAAGACGATTTTGATTTTGATTATTCCAGCAGTGGTTCAGACATCGGAGAAAAGGACAGCCATCGATTTTGTAAGTGCAAACATTTGTTTCTTGGACATCCTTATAATTCAATTTGATGTTTATATTCTGACCTCTGTGAACTATTATTTTCAAAATTGCCCTAGCTGAGATTTCTGTATTTTATTTTTGGACAGCTACTGACTTTCACTTTGGCAAACTTAGCAAGTCTCGAGTACGATATAGTCAGCAATTATCTCCGTCTGCATCTGTAAAATCAATGAATCGTAGCATTTGCAGAGAGGTTGAATCGAAATGTCATGCACCAAAACTGGTAAGCACAAATTAATATAGCAGTTTTGGGTACTTAAAATGTCATTCCTTTTTTGTCGTCGGTTTTCTGTAATTGTGGATGCACGTGGCGAACTTGCCGTCAATCTCTTCTATTCATTTTTCTACCGAAGAGGGAAATAGGCTCCGTGTTACTCTCTCTTTCTGTATGCTTAATGAAAGGTATATTAGGCTTTTTGTATATGTATTATGTCTCGTTAAATTCCTATCTAGCGCCACTATATCTACATACATAAAGGGTTATTCGAAAAGCTGTTTTCATTGAGAGATTAAGGGGCGTGAGTTCACCATGCTGATCCTTTTTCTTCTTCATAGGTTAAATTGGCGAGTGCACGTCACTCTCATATTAAGGGTGAACACTATAAATCCGCTTGTTTCCTCACGTGTATTCCTTATTTTGTTTGCTTTATATTTTTTTCGTAATTAAGATTAGGGCTTAATCCATGACACGGTCGTCATAGCGCTTTACCAACACAATATGGACATTTTTAGTTGACTCTTTACAAAAACACATATGCTCCATTGATATTATGCCATTTGTAGCAATTTTTACATGGTAATATATTTTTGTTAACAACTTGACTTTTGCTTCTTTAATATGCTGATCAGCAAGTGAATTTGGCAAAACTAGGAATCAGATCGTTGTGGAGATATCGGCGATGCTTCAACCTTGTCGGTGTTATATACCTTTCATCATTTTTCTTTCCTTTACCTTTTCAATTTATTGAACATGCTACATATTTTGCTTAATGCCATTTTTTGATTTCCATGTTCAGGCAAGTGCTAATCCTACAAAGGAGCAACTAATTAAGGCTGTGCAACAACATTTTTCTTCACAGGTTCCTCTCTTAACCACACCCCTACCCTACCCAGCCCTGCCCCTCCCTCATCACCAACCACCAAAAGAAAAAAGGGAAAGTTTCACTATTGGTCTTTAACCTATTGCTTGAGTAGCAAGTTGGTCTTCAATCTATGGTGAAATGCTGACGGCCAACTTGCTAGAGGACTAACGATGCAATTTTCTCGAAGAAAAATCACACATGCACGCACTCAACTAAATGCACAAAGTTGGCGTACCAGAAGAAGGAAAAACTCTAATGTCTTGCCTCATTTGATACAGCAGCAGTTGGACGAGATACAAGTTATTTCAGAGTTCATTCGTGCAGCCAAGAGATTAAAATCATTGGACGGACGTTGAGATTTGATAACAGAAAGTTGTAGTTGTGCGTGCCTGTAATATATATAGTACATACATATGAACCCTTAGTTTAGCTCTAGTTAGCCGGAAACTCTAGCTTTGTTCTTGTCATTTTGGTCATGTGAATATCAGGTCCAAGAAATATTTCAATTTTCAAAAAGCAGGAGGTTCATGATTTTGCTGTGTGAATCGGGCCTTTGCTTGTGCTTTTTTATTGTCGTTACTCTGGAACAGGTGCATGCATTTGGGTGAATTATAAGTTGAGTTTAGAGCACGTTTGGTAAGCTTAAAAGGTCTACTTATAAGTAAATTAATAAATATTTGAAAGTGTATATACTTTTTTTGTGAATGTGTTGGCATCTAATGTCAATAAGTGATGCCATAGTATTATCCGTCACCAGATCAATGATCTGCCTTAACACAATTCGATTTATACTTTTATGTCTCGGTGTTGACAACAAGTGCACCATAAATATTTGTGTTGAATTAAAATATGTCACGGTATTTATACGTATCTATGAAATAATAACAATAAGGACATGTTAGTAAAATGTCACGAATTTTACAGTACGATAAAAAAATATTTCAATCCAGCATCCTAAAAATTTCATACACAATGTAAATGTGTTTCACATTTATTAATAGCATTTTAGGTAAGAGTTAATGTCTCTATTAGGCCTAGGCAGGGGCGGAGGGGAGGGGGTCCGGGGTGGGGGGGGTTTGTTTGGGGGTTTTTTTTTTTTTTTTTAAACCATTGTTTTAAATACGAAGTTTTTAGAGAATGTGTGATTAAAAAATATGAAAAAA